CCCCAAAACCCCAAAACCCCAAAACCCCAAAACCCCAAAACCCCGAGGGTGACGATACCAATTGAGGGATATAAATTATCACTTGGGTGGAAAATAATAAATAAAATGTTAGGCTGTATTTTTGATATGTTTGGATGCTTTGGAGGAATTGTATTTATCTTCATTGCTATCAGATTAATCTATTCTGCTCTCAAGAACAATGGTCTCTTGCTAAAGAAAAGTGTCATGGGAGAGCACGTTTTCATGACAGGAGGAGGAGCTGGAATCGGAAAACTTATGTGTCAAATCCTTGCTAAGCAAGGAGCTAAGATCACGGTCACTGATATCAATAAAGAATGGGCTGAGCAAACAGCCAAAGAAATCAAAGAAGCTGGAGGAGACGCTATTGCTATCAAATGCGATGTAACTAGTGTTGAAGATATTTCAAATGCATCTAAAATTTGCAGAGAGACATTTGGTGATGTCACCATCTTGATCAACAACGCAGGCATTGTCACAGGAAAGAAGATCTTAGAAACTTCTCATCAATTAGCAGAGAAAACTCTTCAAGTAAATACCTTGGCCCATATCTATACTGTCAAAGAATTTTTGCCAAATATGATTAAAAAGGACCATGGGCACATTGTTTCAATTGCTTCCTCTGCTGGATTAGTAGGATGCCCAGGATTAGTTGATTATTGTGCTTCCAAGTATGGAGCAGTAGGATTCGATGAATCTCTTAGACTTGAAATTAAAAAGATTGGAGCTAACATCAACACTACTTGCATCTGCCCAACTTTCATCAAGACAGATATGTTCAAAGGAGCCAAAGCAAATGAAACTCTTGTTCCTCTACTAGAGCCTGATTGGGTTGCTGAAAGAATTGTACTCGCTATTAGACAAAACGAACCCTTGCTAATGACTCCATTCATTTCGAACACGATTTATTTCACCAGAGCTCTTCTGCCCACCTTCTTCTTGGACTTGTACATGAAAGCCTTGGGTGCTAATGAGTCAATGGATCACTTCAGTGGAAGAAATAAAGACTAATTTGCTAATAAAAATGGCTTTCATCAAGATATTTCAAGTCTTGGATATAAAAAAGGGGTTTTGGGGTTTTGGGGTTTTGGGGTTTTGGGG